CCCCCCCCCCCCCCCCCCCCCCCCCCCCCATTCCCAGATCAGGCTGATCTGATTTTTTTTTCCACCTTGGGGATCCTGTGAGAATGGAAAGTAATTCCTTCCTGGCTTTAAGCCATCTCTGTGTGCTCAGTCCTGCTGACTGCAACTCACCAGTGGCGGCAGTGGCAGCGGCTGGTGCTGGGGAGGCCTGGGCTGGATTGAGCCAGCCTGGCCCTGGTGACTAAGCCGTGAGTTGCCCAGCTCTGGGAATGGTAGCTGTCCCCACCAGCGGGGCTGTAGTAGCAGTGGGTGTTTGTGCCTGGTGGGAATGTGGACTGCTAGACTCCCACCCCCCACCCCCCGGGGAGGAGGGGGAAGGTGTAGGCCACCAACAGCAGTGATAAGAATAAAATGCTAATGTTTTAGAGGCCGAGGGCCTCTGCCCAGACTTTCAAATCCGTCCCCTCCACCAAACCCAGGGCCAGCTGAGTCTGAGATGAACAATCAGACCCTCTTAAGCCGGGGTGGGAGTAGTGAATAAATACCAAGCACAATTCTTTCCAGTCCTCAGCCCCTCAGGTCCTCAGCCTTACCCTTTGTGCAAACATGGGATCCCCAGAGCGGGTTTGAGTCCCCACTCCAGAAATCACATAAACAACCTAGGGAGGACGAGAAGGTGCTGGCAATCCTGTCCTGCGGGAAGACTTCCAAAGGAACTTGCTTCTTCCTAGCGAGGGCCAGCAGAAGCTGAGTTTTGCTGTGGAATCTGGGCCAGTTCAGATTTGTCTCCCCTTCACGGCTGGCAGGATGCGGGTGGGTATGCATCGATCCGGAAGGGTGCCCAAGTGTGCGTCAGTGCGGGGCCTGCTCAACAGAGCTGCTGGGCTGGTTCTGCCGGGCACACGTGCTACCTGGCCCCTCTCTGCACACGCTTGTGACTCATCTCACTCAGTCCTCAGGGCAGAGTCCTCTCCTGCAGCCCAGGAACAGACTAGAGAGGACCTGGTTAGAGGGGCCTGTCTTGGTAGGAGATCTTCTCTCCCCAATCCACCCCAATAATGGTCTTTTGTCTCAAAAGGACATCTTTTCTCCATTTCTGGTCACCTAAGGGACTGAGGTCTCCAGATCTGGAAGAACCTACACATGCTTCCCCCCCCCTCCCCCAGCAGAGGGGCCTCCATGGGGCCAACCCCTGGTTCTGGCTCCGCCAACCACCTGACCTCCCTATCTGATGAGAACTGTCGTCTGCTCAACCAAGCTCCAGCCCCAGGCAAGGGCCATGGTCCACAGCAGACCTGCGGATGTCCCCCCTCTTCCCCACATCCCTCTGGCCTGACCAGCCGATGGGGGTGGAAGAAAAGGTATTAGCAGAGAGAGTGAGATGGAGAAGCCAGCTGCTTTGAAGGGATTGTGGGGCGAGGGGAGCACTGGAAGATTCTGGTTAGAAAGCTCCATTCTGGTTGGGTGGAAGGTCAGGAGTTTCGGAATCAGCCTCCTGTCTTGGTCCATCCTGCCCCAGAGATTCTGTACGCTTTGAGATCTGGGCCACACAGGGTTGGCATGGGGTGGGATCAAGGTTGAGGGTAGGCCGTAGTTTCCTTGTCCTAGCTTCTTTATCAAGTAGAATTTCTTTGAGGCTCTGAGATGGATGTTGAGGAGATGCTGAGGGTAGAGGGTCTCAGGGGGCCCGGAGTGGTGTTTGGGGGCTGGAGGGCTATGGGTGGAGTCAAAAGAAGCCAATGGGCCCAGAGTTTGGGCTGCCCTCCCCCCACCAGCCACCACCTCTCCCCACACAAGCTGGATGGTAAAATTCAGCTGAGCACTTTGCCTGGTGCGTTGCCCATCCCCAAGCGAAGAAAGCAGTGGTCCCTCATCTTCCCAAACCCTCTCCAGTCCTGCTATGCTGCATGTGCTCCAGGAAGAGAAAAAACAGAGGAAGGAAAGAAATCTCTAAGACCCAGAGGGGGCAGCAACTTGCCCAAGGACACACAGCTACTTGGTGGCACATCCAGATCCTTCTTCTCAGGCTGGTTCTTCGTCCTCCCAGGGCCAGACAGATAGGAGATAAGCAAAAGTCTAGCAACTTAGAACTCCGACCTCCCCTTCCCTCCCTTCTTCCCTCCCTCGGTCCCCTCCCTGATTAGTTTAAGGGCCAGCTTTCCGTTCCCCGTCCCTTTCCTGAGGAGTTTAGAAGCTTTATCTCTGAAGCCCAGCAGAACTCTGGCCTCAAATCTGGCCAGAAGTCCCCACCCTCCTTTCATGCTGACCGTGTATCACCCTAAGTCTTCCTTGAGATGGACATCTCCAGCAAGGATTGGGAGGCACAGATTCCACTGAGGCACCCGGGGTACACAGGACAGTGTGTTCTCCAACAGGAGAACACAGGCTGGCTTTGAATGGAGGCCAGTGGGAAGGGAGGGAGTGAAGGCAGTAAGGGAGACCCAGGCCAGCACTGGGCTGTAAAGGGTGGGTAGTCTGTAGCCGCATATCACTTACAAGGCCATCAGCTGGGGCATTTGTGGGTGGAAATCATGGGACCTCCTCCCCTGGCTAAACCAGAGGAGAGGATTTGTTCTTCCTTCCTTAAAAAAAAATTGTTTTTTTTAATTTCTTACTGTTCTTCCCCTCCTCTGCCTGATTACAAAAATAATAGATCTTTTTGTGAAAGAAACTTAAGAAAACGAGGAACACCATAATCTAAATTTCAGAGTCAGCTGAATGTCAGGGACAGGTTTTTATACATAATCTTTCAGATATTTTTTTCCTCTACATATACAAAAGAGGTATGTATTTCTATACAACCACAGGGGGAATTACAGAAGGCATATGTAGTACAGTTTCACTTTTCTCATTTATATCTTGGGCATCATTCAATGTTGGGACATACAGATTTTTCTCATTCTTTTTAATGACTACACGGGATCCCGCTGTATGAATGTACCATCATTTCTTAATTAAATCCTTTTGTTACGTTCATAGTGTGTCCATAGCAATGGACCACCTTGCACATATATATTTTTTTAAGTTTATTTATTTTGAGAGAGAGAGAAAGCACAAGTCAGGGAGGGGCAGAGAGAGCGCGCGCGCGCGAGGGAGAATCTCAAGCAGGTTGTACACTTTCAGCGCAGAGCCTGACACGGGGCTCAAACCCACAAACCATGAGATCATAACATGAGCTGAAGTCGGATGCTTAACCGATGCTGAGCCACCCAGGCGCCCCCTTGCACCTATTTCTTGTAAGATAAATCCCTAGACATGTAATCGTTGTATCAAAGGGTCTATGTAGCTCAGATTTTCATAGGCACTGCTAAAATGTGTATGTAGAGAGGGTTTGGGGGTAAGGAACTTTAATCCAGCCCCGTCATCCTCCGTCCCCAGATTTCAAGGACTCTTCAAGCTGAGGAGGGGGGTGTGTATGGGGGTGGACCTTATAATGCCCTTGCTTTTGGGGAGATAAGAAATAAAACCACCAGCCACCTGGCAGAGAATTTGCAGGCGTGGGAGTGAGCTTGGGCTGACTTTCCTGGTCTGGGAACTGAGCCCCAGGGGGGCTGCCTGGTTGATGGCGGAGGGGGGCAGATGGTGAGGACTCCCTCAGCACCCAGCTTCTCACAGACGTCAGGCAGAGTGGGCGAAACATCTCCTGAAATAAATCCTGGCGAGTCAGGGAGGGAGTCGGGCTGAGACAAGAAGCGAATGCTCTAAAGGGAGCACGGAGAGGAGCTCTTCAGTTGGCAGAAGGGCCACTGAGACCCTGGGCCTCCCCCAGGGTGACCCTTACTTTTCTGGTGGGGACCCCCACCAGCTGCTTTAGAGTATGGACTCCTGGAACAGAAGCCTGAAGTATTAGATACGTTGACCACTCTGGGCTGTTTGGGACACCACTTCTCTGTCCATTCAGGCGCCTGGGCTAATCTTCAGTCGGTGCCCCTGCAGAATGGGGTGGGGAAGGCAGGAGGGCTTATCTCTTGAGCTCCTCCACCCCCTCCTATGAAATCTGGTGAGCACTTTGGTGGAGTTGCCCAGGGATGACA